CACCTGCCCTCCCCCACCGCGCCGAGGTAGGTCGGGGGCCGGGGTGGCGGCGGCTCGGGGCTGCAGGCTCCTCCTCTCTGGGCGGGCGGTGTGCGGGGCTTCCCAGGCCCTCTCCGCGCCCAAGTCTCGGGCCCCGCGCGCACCTCTGTCCCGAGGGAGGGGGCGGCCCCGCGAGCCTGCGGCCCCGAGGCCGGCTCTGACGGAACTGGGAGAGAATGGCTGTCGGTGGGGTCGGGGCCGGGGGCTCCCATCGCAGCCTACGGTGAGGGAGCGTCCATCTACCCAGTTGTATTTATTCATTTGCCCGGCGATGACGAGGTGGGCCGGGCCAATGAATAGGGTCTCATTTCATTTGCGGTGGCAGCGCCTTTAAAACCCTGAATATGGTCTCGCCGCACTTCCCTTAACTCTCGAGTGGGATGGGCTGTATTTGCCTTGGCCTCTCCTACGGGGAAATGTGCAGTTCCAGGGTTAAGGTGGGTGGATCAAGCGTTTGTTCGCTGTTTGAAACATCTGAGAATTAAGGTCAGGTTGGTGGAGTAAAAGGTTATTTTCGGGTCTCCCACGTGTTTCATGTAAAGCTAATTGGAAAGATGGGGTTTCTAGATTACTATATACTCTATAGTATATAGCCATAAGGACCTTAGTAGTTAAGCCAGTCTGCCCTAGGTCAGGAGCAGGGTGTCTAGCTGGAGAAGCCCAGGCCCAGAGAAGGGACAGGAGGCGCCAGTGCCAGATGACTCAGGCTAGAAATGTGTCTACTAATAGTACCCTCACCTAGACCACGAGACCTAAGCTTACAAGTTGGCTAAAGAATGTCAGTAGTGTTATGTACTGTAACACAAATTGGCAAGACCACAAGTTTCCTGTTCCAAATCTCAGATTTTTATTCTCCTGGGGACTCAGAAGAAAGAGTCCACTAACCCACAGCAGTGTTGGAATAGAAAGCAGAAAATATAGATGAGACTTAGAAATGTAGGCAGCAATCATTTTTACCTTGGAACTCATGGCTTCTCTTGTGCAGAATCAAAGTTTTGTAGTTGAAGAAGGTGAGAAAATGTAACTTTTGAAAAATAAACTGAAGCATTGCCTGTGGCAGCCTTATAAATTAAGAAACCCTTGTTAACTGGGTGACAGAGGGTATGTTTACTTGGTGGAAGAAGTTAGGATATTTAAAAAACAAAAACAAAAGTTGGATAGGATGGAGGGACTAGGAAATACATTGGTAGAATTATTGTTTGACTCTTCACTAAGATTTGATGTGCCCTGGCTGGTGATGCTCAGTTGGAGCGTCGCCCTGTACACCAAAAGGTGGTGGGTTCATAAATCTGTCTCCTCTCTCTCTTCCCATTCTCCCTCCCTTCTCTGTAAAAAGTCAGTTAAAATTTTTTGATAAAAGTAAGTCTTCACTAGATATCAGTAAGATCTTCACTCTTGTTTAGATGACAACAAAACTGAAAAAGAGTAGTATCTACACTAATAAAAGAGAAACATGGTAATTGGCGTATGACCGCTACCTTTCCCATTGGCTAATCAGCGAGATATGCAAATTAACTGACAGCCAAGATGGCAGCCAGCAGCCAGGCAGCTTGAAACTAACATGAGGCTTGATTGCCTCAGTGAGGAGGAAACCAATGTTCCCTGCCTGCCGTGCAGGCCTCTGAGCCTGCAGTTTGAAACATTTTAACAAATATAGAAGCTAAAAAACCCCCCAGAAACCAGCTTTCAGCAAGCCGGGATCTCAGAGCTGGAGTTGATACAGAGTTTTGATTATAGAACTGAAACAAACTAGATACCTGCTTTCAGGAGTGGAGGCCTAAGAGCTGGAGCCTCAGAGCTAAAGGTGGCCCAGAATAAAAAAAGAAAAAAAGGAGCAGTTGGGAGCTTCAGTCACCCCAGCCTGAAAACAGCCCTCAGCCCCTCACCCAGACTGGCCAGGCACCCCAGTGGGGACCCCCACCCTGA